GGATGGCTTGGGTTTTGCATTATTTGGTATACCATAATCATATCTCCTCTGATGCGCCTGTAATGATTGGAATATAACCCCAGTGATTTCAATCTCTCTGCGTATGAACACCGATTCAACCCCCTGACCATTTTGGTGGCCATCCTTTGTGGACGCTCCAGCAGTTTGCAATCACGTTGTGCCACGGATTCCATACCTGAATGGCGTACTCTGTGAGTGGGCAAATGTATGCTGATGGTAGACGGGGGAAAAGCGCTGACTCAAACCGGCCAACGACACGCTTAAGCAAACCAACATTCTTTATAGCTGCGTTAGTCACCTTGTCGCAGTTGAGTGAGCAGCTCAAGTTTTCTTGAATGATGATGCCCAGGCCCTTCTCATTCGAGACGGGCGGCAGTTAATTTCCGAGGCAATACGAAAATTGCTCATTGTGTCGTAGAGATAGAACCTTGCACTTTGGTACATTGAATTCAATATCGTTTAGAAGAGACCAGATCTGAAATATAAAAGAGTATCGTGCCGGCAACTTTAACAGCTAACTAGGACCATTGTCTAGAAACATGTGTAATCTAGTAAGACTCATCGTTTTTAACCTCCACTGCGTTGCGAGTCTCGTTTACCTCAGTAATAACCGGATTCTATTCTCATTGGGGCTGGTGAATGTGTGCTGCTAATGATATTCATAATGATCGTCATTGAGGTCGAACTATCTGTGCGCAGTATTTTGAAGGCTTTTCACACCAGACGTTCTTCGTCTTATACCCCTGGATACTATACTGTTCAAACCTGTTCGTACAAGTAGCACCAAATTTCTTATCAGTTAAGGTTAGCATCACAGCAGCCTGCAGGTCTTGAGTTCAAACCCCACCAGTTCTTCTTAACTTATCCATTTACGTGTGTTCACACAGCCGTTGTTTGTTAACGGACCCTTTCTGGAAAGTTTGTTGGGCATGTGCATGCTCAATAAATAAATAAATAAACAAGAGTGTGTAAAAACACCGAAGCATTTCGTTTGAAAGACAGTTGCGATCTGTATTAGCCTTGGGTTAACTCGGTCGCTTAGTACAGTAACCGAGATCGCTCTGTAAGCGAACGAAGCATGCATTCAATACTCTTCATCAACAGCATTGCTGATGCAAGCACGTCCAAAATACATACATATACACGTATATACGAACTGGCATGCCTAATTTCATTGGAGTAGCACAAACTAATGCAGAAAATGAACAGAATAGTTCCTTTTTTCTCGCTAATCGACAGCTGGCTAATAAATCACGGTTTGTCACAACGATTTGTAGAGAATGAGCTGGTTACTGTAACGAGACTGTAGGGGGAAGTTTTCGGTTTTCCTGTCCAGTGTTAAAAGTTTGGGGATCATGGTTTAACTTGAAGAAAATACCCGACACCCATCCCCCGCGGAGGTTGACTCCCACAAGTTTGGTCAGGTTCCCATTTACATTTGTTTTTATTATCTTTGAATTATTTGAGCATGTATCAATTTCGCACTTCCTTATCTCCATTATTTGTATTTCCTATCCAGGTTTGCACTACAATATCACCTTGGATCCAGGACCACAGCAGTGTATTCGAGAATTGACTGATCCTATTCGCGGTTCCCGTTGGCAGTTCATTTACTCCTCCTCCGGCTTGATGGTTCAACTCCGCCGCCCGCAAGATACCACATTCACCCAGTTCCAATACGCTCCAGATTCCGGTCGTTTAGAGCGTATTCTCTTTCCGAATGGAATGGTCTTCCACGCCGAGCAGTATGACGCTCTTAGTTCACGCTCTCAGTTCACGCGCCAGGGTAAACTGGGCATACAAAATCGTTCGATCGGACGTAAGTCATCGAAGTCTCCAATTAAGCGGCTTTTCAAAAAGGACAAGTATGAGTCATTTGAATAAAAAACGGTACTTGGGGTTTTCACAGCCTGAGGGAATGGGGGAGCTGCTTGTGGTGTAGAATTTATGGCACTGAAGATAGTAAAATGATTTGCTAAATACTGGATTTGTTGGTAAAACTGATAAACATGATTTTATGACGTTGAAAATAAGCAAGAAGTGGGATATTATTATCTTGGACTGACCATCTTCTGGATTTCATCTTCGGTTCGTTCGTCCAACTCGAGACGTACTACGGCCTGATTTTCGTTCTCATCCCAGTTTCATCAATGGTGCTTATGCACTGACCCATTCGAGAGTTGAACTTCAGATCCATTGCGTGGAAGGTGTGTGTGTGTTTGTATGTATATGCTATCACTATGTCAACTAGCGCACATCGAGGACGGCCAGAATCAGAATTGATTCAGGTTTGTTCCAATGATGTCTTCAATGATAGTCGATCAGTGACACAACCCGCTAGGCCAGATTTTACTGCACATTTAAGTCACAGTTACTTATGAGGTGTGTGTGTGTGTGTGTGTGTGTGTGTGTGTGCATCTCTGTTTCCCATATATGTGGTTTGCTTTGGGAATACGTCGAGCTGTTCTCGAACGAAATATATGCTCGTACCATCACAGCTACTTGAAATTACATGCGGTCAATCTCCTGTTATATTGCAACCCTCGGGAATTTCTTTCTCGTTTTTACTTCCTTTCATTGAATACATACTAACACAATTTTCATGAAGAGGAAATTCGAAACAGTGAGTAAATTCCAGAAACTGCGACGTTGTATGAAAAATAGATTGGGACAGTTATGACAAAATAAACAGGGTCGATGAAATCTACGTTACTTTCATTGCTGGTTCCCGTGATATAGTGTTATCTACTACTAAATTAAATCGAAATTTGAATATAAGGTTTCACTTTGCTTTCGTTTGTTGGAGAAATTTAAATCTTCCATAATGCCCTCATATCGTAGCATTATGTTAGGACGAGGCGCATAAACTGGAGCTTTGCGGTCTTCGGTCATCAAGAGATGCAGATGTACGCGGCCGATTAATTGAGCAAACTGGAGCAGGACGAGCAAATGACCCTCCAAGCTAACGTCAACGATTGGTAAACCTCAAGCACGATACGGCAATGCTGAAAAAACACTCACTAACGAGTCCCAGTGAGTTACAGACAACCTCCAAGAAACATCATCCGAAAGAGTCCAGATTTACAAAAAATAATGAACAATCAAGACCCCCATCGGCGTGTTGGCATTTTGTCAGATTTTTCCCCTATCTCAAACACGTCTGTCAAAAGTGTTACAAACTTGGCCACAAAGAAACATATTGCAGATCAAAAAGCGTACTTCAGCACGTACAACCCCGTAAGAAAACAAAAATCCACAGAAGACCTGCCAATCGCAGCAAAGCCAACGTTACTCGTTCCGACGAATTCTTGACCCGCAAAAAGTACGTCAGAGTATTGATAAATGGAACACCATTGCGTCTTTAATTGTACACTGCATCTGACATTACAATAATTTCGTCGCAAACCTGAAGAACTATCGAGGCACCATCCATCCAACCAACAACCCACATAGCACTTAACGCATCGGGAGGTCAATTAAAACTTGTAGGTGTGTTCCGGTGTGAAATTTCTGTTGGCGCTGCCCATGCTACTGGCATTGTACATATTACAAACAGGCCAAACTCGAATGTACTTAGCGTGGATCGGATTCACGACCTTTGACTATCGATTGCTCCATTGAATCAGGTTTGTAACAACCTTGAAATACAATGCTCAGCCTTACCGGTAGACGCAGACAACAAATGTTTGACTCAAGGAAAAAGTGAATGTCAAAAGGAGAATGTACCCGGGGAGAGAACATCGATACATTTCCTCCAACATATCGTACATCACGAAAACAACGCAACAAGAAGGCCAAAACGAAAACGCAGATTCGTGTTCCCCATACAAATCTACCTACGATTGAAAGCCCTACGACTCAACTTCAAGGGGGAGGTATTAATACGGAGCGCACAAAACTCGTCAGGTCGCACATTGATCCGCATCACACCACAGGTTCGCTCGCGACACTGAAGGTTTATTGATTCCGGATTGGATGACTAAGGTGAATCAGACAGCTGTCTTCTGATCGACCAATCAGAGTGTTAAGGATGCGATCGGATTAGTGCGTCACCACATCGTCTCATACGCCCAATTCACCCACTTATATTTGCGTATCGTGTCATGATCAATAATTAAGTACATGGCGTCCACCATGATTGACAACGGTACTGACTACAATGACATCACAGTATTAGAGCACAGTTGACAATTCAGACTAGATCGTACATACGTGATTTGATGCCTAGTTTCTTTGACAAAATTACCTTCAAGAGAAACCACGTTATGGAAAACAGGTGAAACAATTTTAGAGTAGCCAGCTTGGATTAACCCATTCGATTGTTAAGACGCACCGGGCACTCTTTATCTTCTTGGGTGTGGGTTTCACTCCTGACAGGGACACAAGAAGTAAGAATCGCTGACGAGTCCCAAACAGGACGAAACAGGTGTTCAGTGCTCTTTGGCAATTATCACAAACATTTCCATCATATGTAAAGAAGTGAAATATCTTTTTCCACAAAGTACATTGGTTTCTTTTCCATATTTCTAGCTCTCATTGTTCACCATGCAATCCATCCATTCTTTTATAATGAAAAATATGTACCATAATGTCTGTAGACATTCACTCGATCGTTCGTTTCGCCCTTGCGCACTGAAAACAGTCGATATAACCGGCGTTGGTCGACATCAATACCACCGTGACCTTAGTGACTGATTAGGGTCAGCACGTAATTCTCACAGTAGAAGTGCATCACTCATAGTAATGGGCTCGTTAGACCCAGCTCATAATTTTTACGATGACCTTTGGCGAGTGACCTATTCAGCGGTGTTTATCGCCCAGGCGCGTCGGTGTGACGGCGGTTATCGATCGATTGGTGATCTAACATCTGACTCCACAGCCCCGCTTATTGGCTGGGTGAATCACGATTATTGTTCACTCGTTTGCACAGCTACGTCAATGCGATCGAGACGGCTAACTGAATTTTGCTCCTCTCAGCGGGAGTCATTCTTACGGTCATAATATGGTCACAATAACTCAATTGATTCGAGAAGAGTTTGTCTAAAAATGAGAACCGAGATTTGGTTCATTCAACACCACATTCTAAGCAGACGGCTTCTTCTTTAAAATGACGCTCATCAACGGACATGATGCGTAAAATCTTGATCCGACCACAATTATCATCTTATTGCCGTATTATCTGCTGAATCAATTAAGATTTGAACCTAGCTTCTATGAAAGCACTAGTGATCACTTGTGGGCAATCAGACGTTCAAGCTTTTCGGACATGTTGCATGACCGTGACAATATACACTTCGGCCTTTATGTTGGATTGCTCATCTTCTACCAAAGACAACTTATTTCAGTAAATATTACCGAAACGAATACTTGAAAGACCAACTCNAACTCACACTCTGGTATACTGTTTGTAACACTGAAGAACAACTTGGAGGCAACCGTGCTAATTTGACATTCCAGTATGCTGCGGCTTTGTTATGACAAGGAGCGATATGTATGAAATACTGTGGGCTTCTGCTATCGGCACCACGGAGACGTCGTGGAGTTTCCGTGAAATACCAAGTAAAATTACTATGGAGGTCAGAGCGGCCCCTTGGTTAACACGACATTCCCAACGCATTCCGCTTCTCTCTAATAGATAGGCGCTTGAAAATTACCATGTCAACTGATACCGTTTTGGACTGCTGTGCGCGTGCCTTCCTCACACGGGGTATCCAATCAGTGAACAGTGCCATATGTGCGTCACACTAGGTGAAACGCCATTGGTTGAATGTGACTATGTTGTTTGGTTAACGGCCAACTATGGTAAATCGGTCAACGACTAAGTGAATACACATCAAGAGGTGACATACTGAGAGGGCGATATTGCCTAATCACGGTCTACGTCGTTACATATGTAGTTATTTTGGGTTTGCTGATAAGTGGGAGTACATTGGAAAATGCGATGCGCGCGGTATAATGGGGAATGGGCTGTAGTTCTCTCTTATTGCGATCCTCAATCTGGGCTGGGGATATGCAAATGCTTTAGGTTTTTCGTTGCTTTGGCCAGTGTTTTTGCATAGCTTAATTTTTTTAGAGATTCGCACCTTTTGACCTCCGTCTTTTATTCTCTATCTGCTCCAATCCACCATCACCACCATCGCCAACATCACTAACACCATGGACAACAACGAAAAATCATTCCACCGGCGCACTATGCCCAGGACAAAGCGAGATGCTTTGTCGATACGACGAACGTACCGATCCATGGTCGGTACAATTTGTCCAACACTATCCAGGCACACCTTCCAGTTCCAGTCGACGTCCGGCCAGACTTTTCCGACGTATCCAATTGCCCGATCGGATGGATCAGCCTCGTTTGATTAATTCGTGAGTGCCATTCAATTTCATTATTCCGCAGGACGATCAAACCCTCCTACAAGAATCCTCACAAATCATTCTCACTTACCTGAGTTTCAGTTCCTAATAGGCATGTTTGTTTGATTGGATAAAAAATTCCATCCATAGTAGATATCTTCAACTATCCAGCTATACAATGGAAAAACTCACTTTTTGATTAGTGACGTGGTGGTGGATCGACACTAGCAGTGTTCGTGTTGTCACTTCTCATCATGTCAGAATGCTTAAGGATGTGTGTGGGTATGTGTGTGTGTACTCTGTGTGTCAAAACTCACCCTCTCTCTCCTTCCAAAACAGGATTACCGTTTTTATCCTCCTTACACATTCATACTGTTGATGTGCATACATTGTAACCTGGGCAGTGAAGTTCAGTGAATTTCTCCTCGCTGGCACGTATATCCATAGGGAAATTGAGAAATTCGACACTGCTGTTGGCAATGATCAGTTCTATACCAAAATATGTTAGCTTTAATTTTTATAACAGATTGCGTTGTGTTGGCCAGTGGAGGGCAAACTTTATAGTCACACGGACAAGCTGTTCCATTGTGGAAGCTGCCAATCTGAGTTTATGGAATGGTTAACCATATTAGACCTCAATGAGATAGGAGTGGTGTAACAGAAAAGCTGTCAGCTACTAATAACTTAACCCAATTGCTACACAAATTGAGAAACACAAGTTGATGAAACTATTCCCAGTAGGGAACAATGGCTCGACCGGTGGGTGGAGTACTTCTACCAACAGTT